TAATATTTGAGTACTTATACCTAATCAATTATGATAAGTAGATGTTACTCATTTTTGATTTTGGAAAGTTTATATATATAATTTGGCACCTTTTCAGGCTTTCTAGTTACAATTGCTTTAACAGGAGAAACAATTAAAATGTAATCAGTTACTGTCTATATTATCTTTTATGCTTCGTGTTCCATATCAAATGAAAATAAACAAACTGTTACAGTCAGACAGTCAGACCTTTGACTGTCAACATGTTTTGTTGACAATTTGGTATTACCCATGTTACTAGATTTTCTTGTAATCCTCAAGGACAAGGTATTGTAAAACAGATATTTTGGAACTTTAAAATAGTGTCTTCATGACTCTCTGAGTATGGGAGAAGCAGCTGCTGGTACTTCTGCCTTGATTTTCAAGAACTCTGAAAAACTGCCTTTTAAAACAAAAGATGGGGAGCTACAGCCCCAGAAGGAGTCTCCCAGAAATACTCTCCATCATGCCTTATTCATTTTTAATTTTCTAAATCTCAAAGCTCATGGAAAATCTGCTGCTGACTCCTTTTGACATCCTGAGACCAATAAATCTATGCCACAGTTATGTGGAAGGACCCTCTTACCTTTAAATGAAATGGCCCAGACCCACTTCTTATATGGGGCCAAGGATTGATATGCCTGTTTGATACCAAAGACAGCACAGCTGAATGGCTGCCATAAAGATTAATGAAATAAATAGATACCCCCATAAAGCCAGGCCCAATTATAAATAAGATGAATAACAAATTATTTCCAGGGAAGACAAATCTCCCTGAGAGTTTCCTTCTTTTTCCTTTCCAGTTAAAAATGAATCACCCATGGTATTTGCTTTTGGAAGTTCTAATCCTGGTGCTGACCTCTGGATTTACACTACTCAGACCTTTGATGGGCCATTGACAAGGACATCAAACAGCTAGAGATTTACATCCCTAACCTGAAGAAATCCCTCATTCTGCTGTCTGAACTGATCCTCCAAATATACAAAGGACTGTATTGGACTTGATTTTCCCGTCTTACAACAGAAAAGAATGTGTACAGCTCTAGACTGTGTATATCACTTGAAAGAAGAATGTTGCTTTTACATAGACAAGTCAGGGATGGTTAAAGAGAGCATGAAGAAGGTCAGAGTAGGCCTTGAGAAAAAAACAGAGAGAAAGAGAGATAAAGATGAGAGCTGGTACAGGAATTGGTTTTCAACCTCTCCATGGTTGTCAACCCTACTTCTTTCCATTTTGGGACCATTAATTAGGTTATTTTTGCTTATTTCTTTTGGTTCCTGGGCTTTAAATAGGCTTACTAATTTTGTGAAACAGCAGATAGATAATTTTGTAGCAAAATCTATTCAGATACGTTATCATAAGTTAGCAATAGAGAACCACGAGACTCAAGATGAGGTTATTACTCTATCCAGGGTACTTCCAAAACTCATCTCCACACAACCTAAAAGAGGGGACTTCTGTCCTTAGACCAAGCAGAGTGGAGCCACCTAGAACCTCTTCTGACTGGTGATCTAAATTCTTGCTTAGGCTGCGAGGCTAAGCACTGCAAGGGAATATAAATAAAAATTAAAAGTATCTTTCTGGGTTCCCTGAGAGACAAGTCTGACTGCCTAGTTGTTGATGTCAAAAGTACCCCCTCTCCAGGAAAAAGACATCAGTCTTGGTATGGCCCTCATGCCTCACTGGACAATGACAGGAGGACCAGAGACATTAGAAGGTCCCCTTTAATTACTGGAGGTCAGGCCTCTATCCCCACCTTTGCAAGATTGGAATCTCCATGGTCCTTCTATATTTGGAGAAGGGAGATGTCAGGAGCAGCCTTGCTTATACACTGAAGACCTAAAATCAGCAATAGGCCTGACATACATGCCTGCTAACACAAAGTCTTGGTCTCTATCCAAAAACACTGAAACAGATAGCTATAACAGATAGATATTGTAAACAGGCAACTTTGGTGGAAATTTACCAGCCCAAGTAGTCATAGACCTTGTAAATAGGTAGCCTTGGCAGACAATACCAACTTAAATAAGGACAAGTGAGTCATAGGCAAAGTCATAGTGACCTGTCCCCTGAACCTTCACCCAGCCAATGCCCGGTTCTGAAAGATATTTGTATTCCCCCTGAACACCCACACTCCAGTGTCATCCCCTTCCCCACATCCTGCCTTTCTGTGTTTATAACCCCTGTGTGAATGAACTATGATTTGAGAAAAAATAAATAAATTATTAAAAAAAAGAAAGTATCCTCTGTGATCTATATGCCGGTCAGTGGTCCCAATGCTAAATCCCCTTATATACAGTCTGAGTAACAAGAATGTAAAGAACGCACTGAAAAAGAGGGATAGGGGAAAGTCAGTAATTCTAAGAAATCAAAACAAGAAAAACTAAAGTATGAGATATTTTCATAAGTTCTTTGTATTCTTGCTTTCTTCCAGAGAAAATTGTCACTGTTTCTTGAGAAATGGTTGTTTTATTTCTTATATTTTATAGATTTTCAAGCAATACATTTTCTGAAGGATAATATAATATTTGTAAATGTTTAAGAACAAAAACTGGAGAAGTGTAAGGGTGCATAAAAACTAAAACATTATGATTATAATAAAACCTATAATCACTGGTTGGAAAGTAAATGCAGAGAGCTATTTTTGAACAAGTATCTTCCTGAATATTGGGAGCGTGAGCTAAATCATGCACGTACTTGTTCCTTTCTGGCCAAAAGGTAGAAATTGGAGTGGTACATGAGCACAGCAAGAAATGCCAGGAGTCACAAGTTCAGAATGATTTGTTTCTCTTCTTTATTAGAACTTCTGGAAGTAGTAAAGTCCAGTCCAGTCATCCACTTGGGCTAGTTAAAATTAAATTTAAGTATGTTTATAGAATAGCAACTTTACAAGTTCCTGTTAACTTAAGCTACTACATTTATGGAAATCATTAAAACAACCCTAAAAGTCAATACAGAGCTCAAGGGGATGCTTGTCTATTTGGCATTAGCTCTTTATGAGAAGCAGTTTCTCTTTCACTGCACATCCTAATATGTGTTGTGTCTATGCAAAAACCACTGCAGTGATTGAAGACACATCACTGATTATATGACACAATGACTCTGAAATTGTATATGTGGGAAAATATCATGATGTCCTCAAAATAAAAAGACTCTGGACACCTACATCTATTACATTGAGAAAAACTGAAATTGCCCACTAAAACACATACTTTATATTTGCTGCTAGGTAACTGATATCTGTTTTTTTTTTCACCCTTTATAATGTTTAACTTGAGTCATGTATTCTGCAGTCTGACAAGTCATCTAATTGTGTTTAAAATGAAAAAGTACTTGTACACTTTGGTTAAATTCAATCAGAATTCTTGCAAATGAAAAGATATTTAAGACTGAAGATTCCCTGAGTCTACCTTAGAAAACTATACATGTAAAAATCTCTCTTTACACCACATAAAATATCCTTAAAACAGAGTTTCTTGGAAGTGGAGTATTGCACAGTAAGAGTATATGAGCCAGAGTGGATGGAGAACTTCAAGGAGACAGGACCTCCTTAATAAATGAGATCAGCTCACGTATGGACTCATAGAGACTGAGTTAACATGCAGAGGGCTTATAGGAGTCTGCAGTAGATGCTGTCCTAGAGCTCAAAGGAGAAGTGGACACATGCCTCCCTACTCAATTGATACTTCAGTTGATAACTGCTTGCAAATAAAAATTGTTTCCCCCCCCCAAGGGAGTCTCAATGGGTAAATGGGAAAATAAACTACACTTTAGGGTAGACTGCATGCCTAGTAGTGGATGGTCATCAGAAAAAAAAAAATCAGTGGCAAATTTTGAAATTCTTGCCTTATTATGTTGTGTCTGGGCTTTTGTAATCTTAAAAAAATGAATAATATATTTGCCCTATAGTTCCTTTTCATAAATATTATGGCTTTCAGTTTAATGTCTTATGGGAATGCTGAGTATGCAATTGAGTGGATCTTTGTGTATATCCCTTTCTCATGCCTTTTCTTCTCTTTTCCTTTCTTTTTGTTTATTTTTTCCTATTCTCATATGATGTTGTTTGTTTTTATAATCTTATTTTATTTCATTATTATCCCTTATAAGCCTGACTGTTCTAATGAGAGACATAAAGGGATTGGATAGGACATGATATGAGGAGAAACTTAGAGGATCAGAGGGAGGGAAAAGCATTATCAGGATATACATTTTTAGTAAATGAAATTTTTTAAAAAAGAACCAAAGCAGTTGGGTCGTGTGTGATACAAACACTGCATAATGTAAGATAATTGTACATTTGAGTCATTGGGCTGCACAGCAAGATTCCACCTCATGAACAAACAAACAAAAAACAAAAAGAAAACAACCAAAACCAAACAAAGTATAAAGGAATAAGAAAATTGTAGAAATTCTGTATCTAATGGTAGGGAGACAAATCCCTGAATTTCTTCAAGAGCACAGAGTATCTAGGTTTGAGTCTGGGGAGAGCATGCATAGGTCTGACTCAACCACATGGTGATGAGTTCCTGAGTGCCTGAGACCTTGTTTAGTTCCTTTTCATAAACATAGCACCTCTCTCAAGGGCCCCATTTACAGTGAAAGAAATTTTATATTTATTTTGTTTTTGAATGCTTTTGAGTTACCTAAGACTAAACAAAAGAAATATTCTGTGTAAAACGAATTAATAAAAATTTAATAAATAAAAACCTGACATCTAACTTAATTTTACATCTTGATAGATGACTTGTGAATATATAATAAGAACTTTCTTTAAAATTGTCATCATTACTCTTGGGACAGAGGGTAACATTAGGCTCGGAAGTCATTCTTGAAGGCTCTTCTTAAATGCTCTAGACTATAGGGGATTTGTGAACTTATGAATGTTTTGAATTCATAGTAAATCCCAAGTCTCAGGAGCATCACATAAAGGCTCCATTTCACAGCACACTCATCTGTCCTGGGAAGCTAGTGGTGATCTTCTTTAGGACACTGATAGTTTGTTCTATTAGGTGAATACTGATAATCCAGTCGGGCAAAAAAAATTTATTTCAGCACTTGATACAATATGTGTAAGAAAGCCGGGGGCATTTTCTTGAATGTCATAATAATTATCTGCTACATGAAAAAGAAAGTAAGCAGTTTATAAGAGTTTTGCTTTCTGTGCTGGACCTAGGTAAGTTTTCAGTGTCATTTATGACAACCGCATAATATCTTGTAGAGAAGCAGTTGGCTTGACAATGACTTTTATGTACATGCAACATATTAGTTTTACATGGGAGTATTTGTTTCAGTATTCTCTCTAATAGTGAATATCTCCTGTCTTTTTTCCTAGCATTCTTTTGCTGTTGCTATAATATGACTTTTAACCAGTGTGGTACAGAGAAACTTACTAGGAATCCATGACTAAAACATTTGATTTCTGAAAACATTTCTATTTGACGTTTAACCAGGACTCTGTATCTTATATATTAACTTCTACACATTTCTAAAAGAAAAAAACCAAAGGGGAAAAATCAACACTAAATATATCACCTTTTGGAAAACAGAAATTTCTGCTTCTCGCTTTACTTTGAAGAAATCATCTCAGAGCATGAGAAGACTGATCATTAATTTATCCATGCATGTACCATTGCTTAGTTTCCCCTTTGTCTCAAAATTACTAGCCAAAGTATACTCTACAAGGTAAAGAGTCTGTATCACAGTTTATCCCAGGCCTCCAGAATAGTATTTGGTACTTCTAACCTTACTCTGAACTTCCATAGTTTGAAACTGTGTATAAGCCTACTATTCTTAAATGTTAATATATTTTCATCACCCACATCTAGATGAAGAGTTTAGGAAGAAGAATTTAAAAAAAAAAGCATATACTTCATTCCAAGCTGGTATATTTTCACATTGCACTGTATGACCATATATGAGTTTTAAATAGATATTAAGTATTGATTACTGTTTTATATACTGAATATTTGCACTTATGTCTTTTGGTCATCATAGGGATTCTTAGAATGGTATATTCTCATGCTTAGTTGACATTAAAGCTCACAAAATAACTTGCTGGAACTCGCAAATCCACAATTAGCAATAAAGTTGGCTTTTGAAATTAAAATTTCTTGATTGTAAATATATCCAAAATTTTAGCTTCTTAATAAAATGAGTCTTTTTATTGCCCAAAGCTATGAGAAACACTGAGAAGTTTATTTACAGGTGGACTCTTCAGTGATTTCAATACACACAGGTTCACTTTGAAGGTCTCTGAGAGTAAAATGGAAACAGGCAAGTTGAAATCATAAGTACCAGTTCACCAGTTTGGTTCTTTGCCTTTAGGGATCAACTGAGGCCATATTATGTGAAAAATAGACTGAAACTATTCACAGGAGGGCTTCTCTCTCTTGAAGGATTGTTTGGGAGTATATTCTCTTGGTTTTTCCCTAAATATTTAACATCCCCTTTGATATCTCTGTTAAACCCAAAAACATCTATTTTTTTCCATTTTTTCTCCTATTCTAATTTTCTTTGAAGTAGATAAAATTATGGAAGAAAGTATTCTTGGCTGGATTTGGTCTCTTGCTGTTTTAAGTTTGTCTAGAATGACCTTTATGCTGAGGTTGTTAACTGCAAGGAGACCCAATGTCCCTTCTCTTGTACATCATCTAGAATTGCCCTTTTAAGGAACTTAGACATCTGGTCCATCTTTCGACAACTAAAATAATTCACACTAGCGATCTCTCATACTCTCAGGTTTGTGGTTAGTTAGATAACAAATGTCAGTAAAATACCAGCCATCTCTTAGGTAAAACCAGTGGAAGTATTTTTCTGGAACCATATACCCTAAACTCAAGTTCTGAATCTATTCTTCAGTTCTTCTAACCTAGATTTCTACATCAGAAATATATATTCCTTCAAGAGTTCTAAAGAAGTCCAATGCCATAATATAGGTAAACCACATAGAATCAACATGTAATATGTGAGGAAAAACTAGTTAAAAAAGAGGGAGAGGAAGAATAAAGTTAGGGAGGACACTAACCATTATCTCGATCAAAATGGAAGAAATAACTGTAACCTGTCAATACACATTGTCATCACACAAGGCTCCATGAGAAAAGCATTTCCCACTGAAAAAGACTGTACCCGCTAGATTGTGGTATTTCTTGAGGGAAGAAATGTAGCACATGCTTTTTTTTTATTTTTCAGATCCAGGATTAAAACTGTCATGGGCTTCCACTTCTTGAATGGTCAGGTATCTAGTTACAGCATTCTTTCTAGTATGTCCATGAGCAAATGTTCTTGTAATAATTTTCAATTGTATTTAGGTGTTTCAGAAGTATTGGATTTTCAATTATGATTAGGGTACTAAGCAATTCACACTTTTGAAAATGGTTAAGTTGGAGGAAACATACCTTGTAAACCTTGAACTAAGCAATTGTAACACTGGAGGCTATGTTTTATCAAGGCACAGTGAGGAAACCACTGTGTCTCAGCCTTTATCAGCATAGCAAATATCCAAGAGGCATTGAGAGAGTATTTTTGGTTAGAGACAGTTTACATCTTAGACTGACTCAATGCATTTTACACAATTATACGTCTACCTCCCCTCCAGGTAGAGATTGAAAACAAAACAAAAACAAGACTACTTTCTACGCAGTGGGGCTGAAGCTTCATCCTTCCTTCTTTGTGGGTATGTAAAAATTCTGGAGAAACTATGTTTGAATCTTCCACACAATTGTTTCCCCTTTCGACTCTTTGCTGTTTTTTTTCTCTGTTCCATAAAATTTATTTTTACTTATGTACTTTAATTTTAATTATATTTTGAGACTTTTATACATAAGTACTATACTTACTTCATCTCCATCCCTCATTCTTCTCCATCCTAATACTCCTATGTCCCTCTCAAATTCTTAATTTAGGGATGAGGCTTTGAGAAATTCCCTCCATCTATGTTGGCTCACTCACTGGGACAGTCAGTATGCAGGTCTTGTTTTGGTAATCAGATTGTTGAGACTTCACTGGCACTGTATCCCTATTATATATAAGACACTATTTTCAACAGAAATTCTGGTCCTCTGGCTGTTTCCACTCCATCTTCCACAATATTATCTGAGCAGATGCAACATTGAGGCATGGTAACTCCTGGTCACTTGTTGTCTGCATTTTGACAAGCTGTATATTTCTGTAATAGTCTCCAGACACTGAAAAAAGGGGAAGCTTTTTCTTTGATGTCAAGTGAGAGCTACAGTTGTCTGTGGGTAAACGGGTCTTGAGAATGCAGTTAGAATTATGTTGGAAACCAGGCATCTTAGAGACATTGTCTTTACCATCTGGTAATCTCTCAACTTTGTGGAGGCACCAGAACTGTTGTAACAAGGATTTAGAATCTGAAAAACAATCTCCCAATATTTTGGATCTTAATATCAGTGTAGTTGAAGAAAGGTCTCAGGAATAAATAATCATTCCAGACCCATTCTGTCTCACTGATCCAGAAGTATGCCTTCCCAAAACTATGTTAATCTCTAAGGCTTAAATATATTCAAAGTAGTTATATTTATAAGTATTACCTGTGACTTAAATGTTTTTCTCTTGGGTGAGGCTAAAAACTCACATAGATAATATTTAATAAGCAGGAATTTGACATGTAAAACTGAATTATTTGAAGAAAATCTCACCAAGATGTAGTTATTATTTCCTCCCTGAAACCAGTCAGAAAGATTCACCTTACTGTAGTTCTGTGGCTAATAGATTGAAAATTTGTGTTGGGGATATTAAAAATGCCTTTTTTCCCCTGGAGATTTCAGCTGATAAAATGCTAGGTAAAGTAGGCTATTTGCTGAAATTCATTTCCTGTGCTTAATGACTAACTGTGGTAAAATAGACACGGCTTAAAAATCATGTCTTTTCTATTTGCATTTTTGCTTCCGATTCTTGGATTTAAAATTCTAGCTGTGCTAGAAATCATGAGATGTCTAACACTTTTTGAATATGACGTAGATCAAAAGAGGAAGCATGTTCATAAAAAGCTGTGATAGTCTCCTCCTAATAAACCCCCCTTTAGACATTTTTAATTTGTACAGAAAAGGAGTGTTCAGCTGGGAAACACTCAGATATTGTGCTTCAAAGCTGTGATTTCTGTGATCAGCTTGATTCATGTGATGCCCATTATCCCTACCTCATTGGCAGAGGGGAAAATTTAGCTTGATAATATTTTCTGTTTCCTTCCTTCCTTCTTTCCTTTCTTCCTTCCTTCCTTCCTTCCTTCCTTCCTTCCTTCCTTTCTTTCTTTTTATTTATTTTTATTTTTTTATTGGATATTCTATTTACATTTCAGATTGAAATTTTGTTGAGTTGGTTCACAGAGCTTCTTTTGCATTTTTTGAGGAGGGGTTAGACAATAGAAACAGGTTGATACTATACCTTAGTCAGTTAAATTGGCTTCAAGTCACAACAATCATGACTCAGCTCCTTGAGTTGTGTTGTTAAATGTACAAGCAAACACACAGAGAATTTCTATTCTTCGTCCTTCAGTAAAAATTGCCTCTGTTAGGGAAAAAAAAAAACCTACATCCTTAGGGCAAAATGTTAACTTGGTATTGGAATACAGAAGACAAATCATTTTACATCAGTAAGAAAGCATTTTAGTCTGTGATCTGAATTCACAACCAACTTTGAGACAAATTTAAAGGTGATGCATTAGATATTTGTGGATGGGAGGATGAAAACAATACATTGACACTTTGCTAATATCTCTTTGAAGATTTAATTTCATTTGGAAGTAGAGTAAAAGTCTTCCAAAAGTGTAATCTTTAGTTGCATATGAGATCAGGCATGCTTCTGGTGTTATGACAGTAAACTAGATATTTATTTTCTATTTTCCCAGAAATCTTCAAATAATGGAAACTGGGAATCATTCTGCAGCAGTTGTGTTCATCCTGATGGGATTGACACAGCAGCCTGAGCTCCTGCTGCCCCTCTTCCTTCTGTTCCTGGGCATCTATATGGTAACCGCAGTGGGGAACCTGGGCATGATCCTGCTCATCACAGTCAGCCCACTGCTGCACACACCCATGTACTATTTTCTCAGCAGCTTATCCTTTGTTGATCTCTGCTATTCCACTGTCATTACACCCAAAATGCTGGTGAACTTCCTTGGGAAGAAAAATTTCATTACCTATTCGGAGTGCATGGCCCAGTTCTTTTTCTTTGCAATCTTTGTGGTCACTGAGGGTTACCTCCTGACTGTCATGGCATATGATCGTTATGTGGCCATCTGCAGACCATTGCTGTATAATGTGATCATGTCCTCTAGGCTATGCTTACTGTTAGTGCTAGTTGCCTTCACTTTAGGCCTTTTTTCTGCTGTGGTGCATACGAGCGCTATGATGAATCTGAACTTCTGTAAAACCTACGTCATAAGTCATTACTTCTGTGATGCTCTTCCCCTCCTCAAACTTTCCTGTTCTAACACACATCTCAATGAACTTCTCATATTTATCATTGGAGGGCTCAACACCTTGGTGCCCACTCTAGCTGTCACCATCTCCTATGTCTTCATATTCTGCAACATCCTTCACATCAGGTCATCAAAGGGCAGGTCCAAAGCATTTGGAACCTGCAGCTCTCATCTCATGGCTGTGGGGATATTCTTTGGCTCTATCACCTTCATGTATTTAAAACCTTCTTCAAGTAACTCTCTGGAGCAAGAGAAGGTGTCTTCTGTGTTCTATACCACAGTGATTCCCATGCTGAACCCACTAATATATAGTTTGAGGAACAAGGATGTAAAGAAAGCATTAGGCAGATTCTCAATAGGAAGGTAAGCCTTACTTTTTGCAAATAATACATAGTAGAAGTGAATTTTCTAGTAAAATATGTTGTATTTATGTTTATCTTTTGAAACATACAGCATATCTATGTTTAGGGTGCTAGGATTAATCTCAAAGCACCCTACATTTTACACAAGCATTATCCCTTGGGGCTATATTTATTATTTTTATTTTATGAAGTGCTTTATCATGTATCATTGATTTAATTTTTCCAATATAATAAAAATGACTTTTAAAGAAGGTATTAATGCTTCGATAGGAAAATTGGTTTTTCTCTGTTATATAAATAAAATGATAATTCAGATTTTTCTCTAGTCTTTGTTTTCTCTTCCTAATTTAAAATAGTTGTATATTGGGCTCTTTCAATGTCTGTAGTTCTATGTCTGTAGGAAGGGTTGTGGTCCAAATGAACCTTTCCATGATACATGAATAACTGTGAGTGGTTCTGTTTTGTGTAGACTCTGGAGAAGCAGGCCCATTTTCTTTTAATTCATAATTATAATGGCTGTGTCATATTTGAATGATATAATTTTACCACCTTTCTCCCTATCTTCTATCTCTTCTATTTCTTTCTTTCTCCACATCTGCAGTATGTCTTGAGCCTTAGAGGGGATAGTAGTACAAATGACTTGTTTAGGGATAAGAGATTTTCTACCACTTAGTCTCAGCATCTTTGGGAGCCACAAGTCCCTATTTACCATTGTTAAGTATAAATGGAAGCTTTTTCCCTTTAGTGTTGAGATTGTTTTTTGACCAAGGATGTTAACAAGTATTTATAAGGCAGTTTGGATGTATGACCATTCAAATAATCAATAGTAGTAATTCTCATCACAGAACTATCGACTACAGATGGAATCTGGAGATGGAGAGCAACAATCTTCAGTTGTGTCATCACAATGCCCACATGACTCCAACACAAAGTTCTAACTTTAAAGTCATAGATGTTCCTGCCCATAATCAGGGAACGTATACACGTATAGACAATGTGAAAAGGAAATTAATATGGACAGTGATGAAAAGGAAGAGATAGAGGAAATACCAAGGAAGGAGGGAGACGAAAGAATCTGAACTTAAGAACAATCAATGTAGATACACATGTATGAAATTTTTAAAAGAAGCTGATACCCAGCCCATCGTGTTTTATTATGTATAATATTTTATTGAATTATCTATAAAATAAGAACTGTCCTGGGAGTGTCAGAATGAGAAAACAAGGAAAACACTTATTTTTAATTGCAGACAATATAATAGCTTACTCCCTAATCCCTAGAGAATCAGTGATAAAACAAACCTAAGACTTCAGTAAACTATGTAGAGAGAAACTAGCAGGTAGACTTCAGAAGGAAATATCTGAAGCTATAAGGCACAGTCTCCACTGGAAAGCAATGAGTTGACAGAGTACATGTACATGCACTAAAAAAATAAAGAATATCTTATGGGAGAAATTCTTAAATATTTCCTAGACTTGAACTTGTGAAAACTTTGCACTTGAAAAGAATGACTTAATATTCAAAGACACTAGTTTTTTCAATTAATTTATAAATTTGATAAAACACTAACAAAAATCCCATGTTAGTTTCGTCTGGTTCTAGACTTTCATTTTTACTTTAAGAAAGCATCATGGTATAACATGAATTCATTCAGGGGAAGTTGAAGTATATGAAACTTCACAGATTTAATCAAAAACAAAGATTACTTTTGACACATAAATTAAGGAACATTTGCTGCAGACAAAATGACAAATATTTGATTATGTTTTATAAGTCTTTCCTTGACTTCTGCGCATAGATAGTAGTTGATTTCCACATTGTCACAGTGGACTGGCAATTGATATCTCTATCAACTCATATAAACAGACATTTTATTAATATGTGCTTAGCTTATCTTTATTCAGAATAATCCTTTAAATTTTTATCAATACATCCAATTTTATTGTTGAGAATACTATTTTATGGACTTATGATAGCATATTCACTTAGTAATTAGTGATCACTCGGGTCTCTTAGTCATTACAAATATAGTTGCTATCAGTTCCATGATCTATATCTATATCATCTATATCTATATCATCTATATCTATATCTATATCTATATCTATATCTATATCTATATCTATATCTACTATATCTATATCTATATCTATATCTATATCTATATCTTTATCTATATCTATATCTATATCTTTATCTATATCTATATCAATATCTATATCATCTATATCTATATCTATATCTATATCTATATCTATATCTATATCTATATATCATTTATATCTATATCTATATCATCTCTATCTCTATCTCTATCTATATCATCTCTATCTATATCATCTCTATCTCTATCTATACCTATACCTATACCTATATCTATATCATCTATATCTATCTATATCTATATATCACAAACAAAGAAATCTAGTTGAAATACTTGTAAATTATGTTAAGTGAGTTCTTATTTATTCATCAAACTGCCAACCCGCTTCATAATTAGGTGAATTTTAAGCATGAATAAAAGTTACAACTGGTTTACCTTTAATGCTGAAATATGATTTCATGTTTATTTCAACTTTATTAATTTTAATGTATGCATATTTTATGTTTTTTAGTTTGCTTTCCGCAGTGATAAAAGATTAAAAAATGTGTTTTCATGTACTATGTGTTAATATTTCATTTTATCCTACCAATTGTGTTCCTGTAGATAGCATTGACTAAGAATATAGTCATAGAGGGGTTCACTCACTGGACCACACTCATATCTGCTGAACTACTGGCTATTGGTATGACTTGTTATAATTAAGGTCGATTAGTATTTATTTTCCTAGATTATCAATAAAGATACTACCAATAATATGACTCTGCTATGTTACAAATATTTGTTATTATTCAGATAAAATTTTGGGTAATAATTGTTATTTTTTACATTTATTTTTTATTGGTGATTTTATTTATTTACATTTCAAATGTTATCCTCCTTCAAAATTTCCCCTACACAAACCCCCAGCCCCTCACACTGTGCTGTGCTCCCAAACCCTCCCACTCACCCCTGCCCCAGTGCTCTAGCATTCCCCTGCTCTGGGTCATTGAGCCTCCACAGGACCAAGGGACTCCCTTTCCATGGATGTCAGATAAGGACATCCTTTGCTACATATCAAGCAGGAGCCACAGGTCCCCACTGGTTGGTTGATATTGTTAATTCTTATTTGTTTAAAAAATATTTAGAAAATATAGGTGTTTTTAAAAAGCACCAAATGTAGTATCTACAATAAAGGCTAAATTGTTAATTTAAATTCCTAAGGGAAAAAAACGAACAAGAATTAGAACTATTTTAAAGGAAATTGTTCCTGCACCTACTTAACACAATGAAGGTAATGCTCATAAATTCTCACAGAGAAAGTAAAATAAATCATACGGTAAAGACAGCAAGCCATTTTATTTGGGGCACATATAACAAACTGAGAAAAGATGGCCTTAAACAAGGCCTTTTCATCTCTCAGATCCACAAGTGTCAGAACTGATTCTCTAACACTCCGCTAATCAGAATTCTACTTTCATCTTTCAATATTTAGTGACCAGCCACTCCACAAATGTAAATTCATCGAATAAATAGAAAAATTGCTTATAACATATTTCATCTTTTAATAAATGCTTTTTGAAATTATTTATTTTACCTTTTTGAGAGTATATCACAATTGCATCATTTCTGCCTTCATTTTTCTCTTCCCAAACACTCCCATGTATCTTTCCTTGCTCTATATCTATTTCATGGCCTCCATTTTCATTTATTGTTCTTACATAGAGCTGTAGAAGATGAGATAAATGTGAAGGAGCGGAGGTGCATCAGGCCTAAACTGATGAGCTCCACTGTCTCCAGGGCTGATGCTTCTGCACAACCAGCTATAGTGTCAGAGGAATATGACAGAAATCTTGTGAACTTTGTACATGCACTTGAGAAAAACTTAGAAAAATTGGAATGTGATAGTGGTCAGAAATGTTTTCCAAATACAGCCAAAAATTAAGTCCGATAGTCAGGATGGCACACACTATGTAGGTCATGATGTTTTTTTGCTGAGCAGTCTCCTGGCTACTCTAAAGTTACTCTGACTAACTAATCTACATCCTGCCATGTGGGTAATTCTCCCTCTCTGCTCTGCTTTTGTCTGCCCATACACCTCCATGTCTGCCAGCTGAATCTCTCACCTCTGATTTTTCTCTCAGTATCATTCTCTCTTCTCAGATAATCTGCCTGCCCAACAATTGGCTCTCACATCTTTATTAAATCCAATCAGATGCAATTCTCAGGTAAGGAGGAAACAAATATTTATAAAAGTACAGAGATGGGCTATAGAAATAGCAATACTAAGATTCAGCTTGTATATAACTTCCTGCTAGTAATGAATTAACAATTTGAACACACAGAGACATGCCTCCACACAGTGTACCTCAACATCTCCCCCTTTTAGTCTAATAAATGGGTTTTATCTAACATCAATAAACTACATACCATAATAGCAATTGTAAGAGCTATCAGATAAGGATTATATTCACAGTGTCCAGTCTGTTTGAATTTGATAATCTTGGAGAAAACACTATACTATCCTATCTTGCTGAGTCCAAAGTTCTGTAGCTAAGTCAATTTCTATCATCACTTAAGCTTTTACAACTTCTAACATTCACATCTTGCATTTGCCATTCTTAAGACACATTCTTAGACACACCAACATTCACATTCTCCAAATATTACAACCCTAAACTTTCACATTTTCCAACTTTAATCAACTTTACACCTCTTTTGTGAGTTTTGTTACCTGTATCTGATAACAAAGAAAACTTTAAGACTGTAACTATCTAGTTTCAACCCCATCAGAGACATAAGAAGGATGAATTTTATCTGTGCAAACAGGAAGTACAGAGCAAGAATTTTCCAAAAGAAAAAAGTGGCAGGAACTGGTTGCTCCTTGAACAGTTATTCAAGGTTCCTCTTTGTCAATAAGACATGCACCTTTGTCTATCAGACCTAGAAGATCTGACAGACTTATCTATGAAGCAGTAATTTTGAAGGACTCTCCGATCTTGTCTCTGCATGGATCAACTGATTTTCCAGTGTTTTGCTTGTAATCCATAGATTAGACAGCATGTTCTCAGCAGTCAAGTTAAAGAATTTTTTTTTTTGCCCAATAACCATTTCTGACACAATTGAAACAAACTCCAGATGGAAGTTCTTCAGTGCCCATCATCTGTTATGTTTTGTTTTGTTTTGTTTTGTTTTGTTTTGCTTTGTTTTGCTTTGCTTTGCTTTGCT